TTTAGTTTAAAGCTCTTTCAATGAGCCCTGCTAACTCCTGTGCAAAGATCCATTTCCTGCTTTGAGACAGGTGTACCCTCTGTCCTCATACCTACCCTGCAAGGGCACCGGGGAAGGTGGGGTAGTCACAGGGGAGGTGTGCCTGCTGCACCGGGCAGGAACTTGTCACTGTGGCCTCCTGTCCCTTGAATCACTGTGTTTGGCCAGATGGAGAGAGGACAGGGAATTCTCCATATCATGCATCTGCCTGTCGGGCCTGTCCCAGGAATGGCAGCGTGCGATTCTGGTAGTTCATCCATCTCTCACACTCCTTGGTGCTCCTCAACCCACTCACCTCTTCCTGGAGCTCTGTCGCTAAGCAGAGGATTTCCCCTCCCTGGGCGCGCCTCCCAGAGCTGTGCCCTCTGCTGCTGTCCTGTACGGGCGTAAGAGCAGGGCACAGCCTGCAGCCGGACACCGAGGGGGGCAGCGTGTTCCCACCGGAGCTCTGTCTGGGCAGCTGCGTCAGTCGAGGTGGGTGCAGAGCTTAGAGAGGCCATGGCTTTCTGCTGGGTGGACGCATTGCTCCCTGATCAATCTGGCAGAGCTTCAGCGACCTTCCTGCATGAACTGCTGCTCAAACTGCCACAGCATGCTCTGCTTGCCTGCCCTGGTCACTGATGCTCCCCAGGGGCTTCTTTTATAGGTGGGGGGGGGGATTGGCTGCCATTGCTCCTGGCCCTGCCCAGGTCCTATCCGTCACTGTTGTGCAAGCTGTGGGTTCCCAGGGCGCTCTTGGCTCCCCTGGAGTTTCCGTCAGTCCAGGAAACCCCACGATGCACCACTCCAGAGCGCTCCACTGCAGATCCTGCTGGCACCGGGGCTGCTCACCTCACAGCCTTCTGGCTTTGAACAATTAAGGGAACTGAAGAAGAAACTAGTTGATAAAATGGATACACACCAATCACCTCTTTTAGTCACTCCATGCTCTATGGTCCCAAGACGTAAGAGAATGGGGATTCAGGCCGACATTCACATGCTCAAGAGTAAACATGCCCATAAGACACTGCAGGGTTGTGGCCTTTAACTCCTACATTACAACTAAAAGCTAAATGTGAATGCAGACAAAAATGGAGATCCATAAGGCAGCAAGTGACTTTTTGCTCTGTAGGAAACTCTAGCCTGCTCCATTTTTGTTCAAAAATCTCCATAAATTACTTCTATCTATTTGAGTTAGATTAGCTTAGCCAAAGGAGCTCTGAAAAGTAATTGATTAGATGTCTGGCAGGAGGAACAAGCTTGCCAGTAAGCCTTCACCAGTGCTGCTCATACTGCAGATGTGCCCATGGGAAGCACGAGAAGACATAGGAGGAGCATGCATTGCAAACACCAATAAAGGCATAGAGAAACAGGGTGTGTGTTTCAGAGATGTTGTTTCCTCATCCCTGAGCACAGAGATGCTGTGTTAGCCTTGGGTGCATGAGACTCTCCACTAAGCCCCTGCAGTTTTCTGGTGTAATCAGGCTAATGAGGGCCTCTCAGAGACTTTGCAATATAGATACAGACACATTATACAAGAATGCCTCTAACAAACAGGAAGATGCTGCTTATAAACATTTCTTTATGTGCACCGATAGAGTATAAAAAAGTTTAACTACAACTTTCTGACCCTTTGCTCTCCCTCCATGGAAGGCCAAACCACCATGGGCCAATTTTTTTCTAGCTCTGATGGTCAAAGGCTGCAGTGATAGCGGACCATCTTTTGGCATGTCCATTGGCAGATTTTAACATTAGCACTCTCCTTCCCATTTACTCAAGCAGAAGCTCACCACAATGTATTCCTGCGTAGCTCCACCTGCTAGCACTCTTGTGAAGGAGGAAAGCACTTTCACAGCTGCTTTGTATGTGAGTCAGTGATGGAACCAAAATTAGAAGCACAGCTCTGTCCAGACAGGAGCTCTGTCCAGACTGGATCTCGGTCCATTTCTTGTGCTTCTAGAGCAAAAATGATGAAAAACGTAAAGCAACATGCAGTTGAAGAAAATCACATGCGTTGGTGATTGTAAAGATATGATAATTCATTCAGTTTCCCTTATTGCCAGCAGAAGGTTAGCTGGCAAAAATTAACAGCCTCCTAGAATATATTGTTTAGTGTGAGTGCAGTTTCATGACAGATGGTGGAAATGTATGGGATATGCATAAGAAAAGAATCTGCTGCTTATAGACACCAGCGCCAGAAGTCTAACCTGGCACGTACACAACGCCAACAACTATTTCCATCAGGTGCTCCTGCCAAGGATGGCCCTTAGCATAGCCTTGGACAACTCTGATGACTCTGTTGATTTAAATAAAGTAGCACCAATGTAAAGAAAATAAACTTCACACTCTGTCATGAAGCTTATCTGGTGTCTCCAACAAACAATTCACTCCCTCTGAGTCTGAAGAATGTATCACTGGATTATACATGAGAATTAAAAGTCTCTTTAATGGATAAGCTTCTGAAGAAACTTCTAAAGACTAACTGTTATTGAAGTTCTAAAATACCTTAAATGATGCTGACTATCTACATAGCAGTGTATTTTATCTTTGCTAAAAATGTCTGTTATGAGTTATGGAAATTCTATGAGCATCCCGTTAGCTATCTCTGCCTGCTGCTATGCCTATCCCAACGTCATCAAAGCCTCTGTTCTTTGGTGCACATATTTGATTTATAGCACCTTCCCAGAAAAGTAGCCCAGCTTGAATTCTCGACTATCCTAGGTCCCCACTGTCTCCATGCTTTCAGGCCCCCTCATGTACAGCACTGACTATTATTTTGGCTGCCTGATTTCTGCACATGCCACACCACCAAGATAAGTTTATGAACATACCCACACGGTCTGGCTGCATCAGCGCTGTCCCTGATAAATGAGGAAACAAGGCCAGCCCGTCCCTTGTTGTCCCTCTCAGGTCAATGGTGTTTCCTTGAAAGTGAACCCCGTGCATGTCATAATGACTGCCCAGCCCGATGAGATGCCAGGAGACCTTGTCGTCCTTGCACATGGCCAGGCCTGGCAGATTACCAAACAAGTAGCCGTTGACAGCTGGAGGAGAAGGAAAGAGATCGTTGGCAGCAGGTCAATGGAAACTCATTAGAGTCTCCCACCACTTTCCTAGCAAGAGACTCATGACTCAGGAAGTCACAGCGTTAATTAAAGGAGCATTTTGGGAAGCAAAGGTAGCATTGGTTGACACCAAGTCAATATCTAAATGCTATTCCTATGAACTCTGAGCTTCCACCTTTTTGGTGAGCTTGTATAATCTTGTAATAGACCTTTACAGTGGTGTAGTACTTCTCCAAGATTTTCAGGGTGCTTCACAGACACCAGTTAAGTGTATAAATTAGGTACCTCCTTTCAGCCTAGAGAATGTATAACTGGGTCATTGAGGCCATGGAGTGGGCCATAAAGAGTCCAGGTTATAAATCCAGTTCTGATGGAACCTTTTTGTGTGATTTTGATCTTTGATTTCCACTTTTACTTCCAAAATGTATCTCTTTCTTTCACAAGGGTGTTGTAAGGCGGAACTCTCTAATCCTCAAATGCTGTCTGTGATCACTGGGTGAAAGATATTACGGCAGAACAAAACTTCAGAATGAGATACCACCTCATAACAGAAGAATAAAATAGATGGGTTCAGAAATCCCCAAGGATTAAATCAAACAATATATATTCTCAGTGCTCTTCAGAAAACTAAAGCAAAGAGACATGATGTGATTTGCTCAAGTCTGTAATGTCAGGAAGAACTTGGAGGAAGTCCATGCTGAAGTCAGATATTTGCATCTAGAAGTGTTGTTTTAAAACATTATTTGCCATTCCCCTAGTCTTTGCATCTCCTCTCCCAGAGGTGGTGACTACCCAAATGGGAGCTGGCAGAGCAGAGTGGGTAGGCCTTCATTGTCTGAGTCAGTGCCAAGGCCAGCAGTGAAATTTAAATCACCAGTGAACATTGGCCTCTTCTGCAGTTGGTGCCTGACTCTGGCATTATGCCTTTTTATAGACCCAGTGTTGTATCTAAAAGGTACACTCTGTTCCCTTTCTCCAGGTGTAGTTGGATGTATTCATTGCTAATGTGATTGGGGTTTCAACATGCACTCCAAGGGCATCCAAATCTGGCCATAAGCTGACTGACAGCTTTCCACCTCTATCTCCAGTGCACTGCAGCTGGCTATGAATGATGACAAAATCTACCAACTCATCTTCCTAATATGATTGAAGAAAAGGTATCATTAACAGATATTCTGTATTTCATACCATGCATTTTGTTGGATTCCTTGAAACCTGCATCATTTTCATCTACTTTTGAAGGGTCTCCAGTGAATGCTTCGATATTCTTGTTGAGATACCAGCTGTCATTCTCATCGAAGATTGAAAAGAGGAGGTAATATTCTCTGTCTATTCCTTTCTGTAGCAAAGACATTAAAAAAAAAGTCTGTGCAGAATTATCCAAATAATTTTTTTTTTTAACAAATCTTTTTTTGCCCCCAAAATTGCAGCTGCCTTCTTACTATGTCCTTGTACAGACAGGGATTGGCACTCTTCTATCAGACAGAAGGATAAATGAAGTGTCCGTTACTTACTTAGGGTGGAAAGATGCATTCATTGCTAATAAGTTCATGGGAAAGATGGAAAACCTAGGGACAAGTCAGAATACTGGGGAATGACAGTTGCATCTTCCTAATCATCCCCTTAGATGTTTACTGTTACTCTGAGGAATGACATTTGTTTAATCTCTTAAAACTGGGATGGGAACTGGGCAAATTGTCCCATATGAGAACCTGCCCCCGTGCACCACCCCGCCGTTCAGGACAAGCAGATGTCCAAGTTGGGCACCTGCGTCCCGTCGTGATTCAGTGCGTTCTTCCGACAGACTAGCAAAGGCCCCACGAGGCCGGAGTTGGTGTCCTTGACAGCATCAGTAGCTGAGTAGTACAGATAGGTCAGGCATGGGGGGTCACTCGCTGTTGGACCTCCATTTTCAGGCACCCTCCATTTGTATGTGAAGGTTTCACCTGGCTTAACGTGGGCTCCTGGCTTCAGATAGCCTGCAGAGTGAAAATTGAGAAGCACCAAGGTTACAGGAAGGTTTCCCCTTCCTGAATACAAGCGTTAGCTGGGAGTCAGACGTAGCTGCTGATTTCTGTGGACAAGTTCCCCCTTGCAGCCACAGCTCCAGCAACATCCCATAGTCTGGGCACTTATGCCACGGGGACATCTCACCGGAGTCCTGTGCCACAGGGACAACCAAGCTTGTACCCTGCAGAACAAGTTTAGCTGCTTTACCCAGCCACCTTCTGATGCGATCTGGGTTATCCGTATTCAATCAGACAATGCAGAACTCATCCTTGTGGTTAAATGGCTTCTTCTAATGTTTGTAGCTTACCTGTCCTATCGTGACATTCATCTGTGGCACAAACGCAGACTCTGGCTTTTCATTAAGCACCAACAAAGCAATTGCATCAGTGAGTGAGCTGCAGCTGTGGCTCTTTAGAAATTCAAAACAAAACCGATCCTGGTAATTGTTTCTTTTTTATTTTGTAGCAGTGCACTGGAACCTCTGTCAGTCTCCAGAGGGCGGTTACCATTACTTTTTTTGGAAGCTACTTTTAAAGGATTTGGGCGGTTGTCTGCTGCTGTATACAGGGTGGATGTAGCACCACTCATGTAATTTAGCCACCGCTTTGGTATTCACACAGACAGGACTTACAGAAGGGACTTGAGAGGAAAGTTGGGAAAAGGGGTCAGCCCTGCACCCTTTGTAGAAAAAAAGTGCTAAGTAACATTTCTGGTCTTTGCTATGAGGAAGATCAAATCGGAAATTTTGTTTAATGCTTAGGCATCCATTGATTGGATTTTCTCAGCACGGTCAGCTGCATCTGACAGCAGCAGACTGCACTGATCTAATACTCTTCTCTAACACTGCAAGAGAATCTTCTTGAAAACAGACACAAGTGAAAATAGCAGTGTTACATATGAGCACATACTATTTGCCACTAACCACAACACAAGTAGAGTACTGCTTCAGCAGTGTCTGATATTACTGAACTCATCCTGCAACAGTGCTCAATAAGCAGAACATCAATTTGGAGTTAAAAACCCTCGAAGACTGGCCAAGTGTCAAATGCAACATGGAAGAGTATTTCCTGAGAGCACAATTGAACAGAGATGTCTGCAGACACCTCTAGGTGTCTGTAGGTACGTTTATGTACAGTATTTTCACATGAATAGGTTACACTCGGACAACGCACAGCCTTTGAAAAATTGTTTAACTTCAGTGTGAACCTACAGCCTCTTAAGCCTCTACATGTATTCACTTGTAGATAAATATGGTAGAAATCCAAGACACAAGGGTTACAAGGAGAGAAGAAGGGGCAGAAAGATTGTCGATGAATCTGCAGTCAGGTTCCTCTCCAAAGACTCAGAGGTGTGCAGCGCACACTGCTGCTGAGCTGTAGGATTTGGTTTGATTTTGCTCCACACCAAAGCATGCAATGGGGATGGCTGCTATTACTGAGGAGTGTTAAATGAAAGCACAACAGGACTGCAAGCAGAGGGAAGCTGCACTTCCATGAGGGAACTACGTCTGACAGGGGTGGCGTTAGGATGTGTGCAGGTAACTTCAAGGCTGAACTCAAGCCAGTTGTTTTGTGATGCATTGAGCCCTGCTGGCAAATTTGTTATGTTGCAAGGTCAGCAGCTAGAGACAACAGAATTTAATAAAGCCTTTTGTATTGATTTTATTGTATAATCTTATGAGTTTTACATGTTGACTAATTCTCTTAGCACAATTCTCAAAAGAGGGATTACGTCCCATGAGTTTCTTTCTGATGTGTTGTAATGGAATCAAAACAATTTAGACAACAAGAAACCTACCTTTCTTTTCAGTGCTGCAAATGCATGAAAAAACTTTTTCAGAGACCACAATATTCTCTCTGTAGACACTATGTATTGGATTCAGCTCACCTGACTTAAGCCATTCAAATCTTAGTCCCTAACCCAAACTCTAGGCTTCTTCTGTAACTGGTGGAAACAGAAACACATCTCCAGAGGATGACCTACTGTTTCCTAAAACAGGTGTTCAAAGTAAATGGGACTTCTCACCCTCTGAAGGATTTGTTTCTTGTCACTGACTGAAAAAGGTGCCTACCAATTAAACATGACATTCAACATTTAATGATTGAACTTGGGTCATACAGATCCTGTCCTTTCACAAAATGAGAAGAAGCCTTTGGTAAATGCTCCATTTCAGCATTTATGTATTTATAAGGATTAATAAGGATTATCGCTGCTTCACATTCCAGGTTAATCAGATAAAAGCTGCCTCCGACACTGATTATCCTGACAGCGAAGCAAGGGCAATGCCCAACCTCGATTAGAGAATCAAGAGTGAAGCAACCCAGACCATGTAGATAGCTATATCCAAAGGCTCAGCAGGGGCATCATGCCAGCTCCTAAGATTCATGATTCTGGAGCACGTCCAGAGGAGGTCCACTGAGTGATATTAGATTAGAAGTAATATAAATTTGATTGTGCTTGTAACTTGCTCAATATGGACCTCAGCTAGTTTTAGACGCCTTGTCTGGCACGTGTCCAAGGGTAAGAACCAGCACATTGGCAGACTGGGGAGCCCCTTGGGTTGTGACATGTAGGGTAAATACAGACTAATGAAATCATCCCTTCCGTGACTTAGCGTCCACAGAAAGGGCAAACCTGCAGAGCAACAGAAGATCTTTTGTCTCAGGGATTCTGCATGTGATGATACAGCAATACAGTCAAAACTTACCATCTAAGTAGGGAGCACCTTCCGACAGCTTGCTGAAGCTTACGCCGTGGGCCATAATGCTATAGCTTCTTTTGGCTTTGTTGGCAAAAGTAACTAGCACTGTATCTCCCACTTCAGCTTTTATAACGGGGCCTTAAAAAAAGAGAGTGAGGGAAGGTATTAGAAGAACTACCCTCTAACACATTTCCATTTAAACAAGAGAGAGCTGACTGGCAGCTGCATACAAAAAATTCCCCTCTGGATCCAAGTGGATCTGCATTCAAACCTGATGTAAAGACAGGAGGGGAAATTATTCACTGTACCAAGTATTCCCAGGTGCTTCATGTCCTCTGACAAAATCTTCTTCTTACTGAATGTTGCATCAGTATATTCCACATAGCGAACTTTCCAGTATTGCCCTCCTATTCTGTCAGTCCCTTGCGTGAAATATATCGCAGATTCACTGTAGAATTAACAAATTGGACTGGTTAAATAATTGGAGGTTCAGGCAGAACCCTTCATTTTGGATAAAGTTACTACTCCAGACACAGGAGAAATGACCCCCAAAGTTACTGGCTTGCATACACTTTTCTAGCAGACAAAAGGAGATATTACTGGTCCAAGATACGGTTATAAATTAGTTTAAAAATGGGTATTCATTGTGCATTAGACTTTCACATGTTTAACCTCAATTTATTTAGCGAGACATCTATGTCAACTTACCTCTACCTTAGGGCAAGACCTGTGCCATTCCCTGTGTACAATGTGTCTCTGATCCTCGTTAGTTTTCTTGGGAGATACTGTAGTACAATACATCTTCATCATGAATAACAGGGGGAAAAATCTACCATTATGGCACCTCTGAGATACGCCAATTGTAAGTGTGAAAACTGCCTGAGGAGTCTCGACATAGGGGAGCCATTTGTTCTAATACATAAAATATAGTCATAGCAAAAAAAAAAGTGTTCCCAGAAATTTCTGAACTAGCAATAATTCAATAAATACAAAAAGGAAAACGTCCGAAGTGAAAGGATGTAGTACTCTTGATAATACTAGTCCGTCTTCCCTGCAGGAAATGCTTCACAAAGTGATGGTACCAGTGCTGAAACAGACTTGTCTTTCCCATGGATTCTCAATGTATTGAGAATTTAAAAAGCTTTTGGGTCATTAACTCTGTTGAACTTTGCATACCTCACCAGGGCTCACTCTCTCCGTGGACTTAATGGAGCAAGATAAGCGCTTCCAGAAGGCAACTCCAAGCATCGCAGTTACGAATCTAACTTCCTGACAAGGTTGTTTAAAACCATTCTTCCCTGCCCTTTCAATTAAAATTAATAACAATGCAGAACCTAGCCCTGGTGAATCACTGGGCAAGTCTCACCCAGACTCCTGAAATTAAAGCACAACAGGAGAGGACAAGAAAACTTACCTGCCAGTGGCGTTTAAACCCTGCCCAGTGAATTTATCATAACCGTCAGGTCCGTAATTCCAGAGTACTTCTTCAGCAGCGATATAATATCTTCTCTTGTGACTGAGTGGTAAAGGCCGAGACACATTTTTTTGGCAGATCTGAACATCATATAGTGCCTCCATGCCACCTGTGAGGAGAAAGAGTCTGGAGACAGTCCTTGGCCAGCTGCAAAGTCAGCAATCTCACAGATACAAATGCACATTCAAAACTCTCTAGGAGCTACATGGATTGGAAACAATTACCAGGGTACATTTATATTTTTTAAGACCTCCTCTGCCTACACTGGGCCAGATGCTAGCACCCTTCTCTTGCAAGGTGGTACTTTATGTCACAGGTGAAACTCACTGACATCAATGACACTATTTAGTGGGCTTATTTACTCCATTCCTTAATCTGGGTAAAGGTGGTAGAATGATTTTGGGGGTCCTGAAGTGTGCAAAATGGCATCATCTCCCCTTGACTTTCATTGAAATAGAGGCTGGTTATTACCACATTGAAGATATTTGTTGTTGCTTGCCAGAATCGAGTCTGTTTTACCTGATGCAAATCCCACTGAAATCAATGTGTAAGTTCTTGAAAGTAAAAATTCTACCAGCTCACCTCTGGTATGATAATTATATGTTGCCAGCTGCCATGAGACCTAGTTTATGATAAGTGCTTTCAGGCTTTCGCACCACACAAATATCACAATGTCGCCATCAAATTCCTTCATGTGAAGGTTTCTGAAAACACTGCCAATTTTTGACTAATTTCTATAAAGGAAGAAGCTATGAAGTGTTCAGCTGGCATGATTTTTCTTTACGTGTCAGTACTTATCTACAACAAAAAGTGATGATGAAGGTTCCTCTCATTGCTCATCAGAATTGTCTGGTTTACATGGAAAGCGCGATGTCAGCTCTGGTTCTAGCAAGGCTTCCTCATATGAATTACACAGCTAAGTTATTAATACTAGCTGAAGATTTGGCCCAACATGCATAATTTCCACCGGTGACTAAACTCATTCATGATGTTTATCTGCTGAAATAGTTCCAAAATGTTCATTTAGTCACAAAAAAAGTGTCAAATCCTGCTTCCCCTGGAAACATCTGTTTTATTTTCCAAGCATAATAGAGGCTGGAACTTCTGAAAGGATCAGAGAGATCTATAGCAGCATACCTCTTAAGTGCTCATTAACCTGGCACGTTATCAGCCACCTCCCAGGGTTCCCAGGAGTCATCTCCGCTGTGATGAATGTTGCTGGGAACAGACCGATGACATCTGCCCTCTGGTCTCTGTTAGTGAACGTGTGGCCATAGAAATACGCGGCGTGGATATCTATCTCACTTCCCATACCGAACAAGTGCCAGGACATGGAAGTGTCAGCACACATCTCCAAGCCGGGGAGATTGCCATAAATATAACCGTTAATAGCTAAAAACAAAAGTATGAGACTTTATGAGAGGTGAAGGAGAAGAGCCAAGTGCCTCTGACCCCGTTTCTAAGGATGATCCCTTCCTGGCCCAGAAAAGAAACTGTCTGAATGTTCACAATCAATAAGGCACTCGCAGGCTCCTTGATGAGGAGTGACATTTTGAACATACAGCTTACAGGTCTGGATGATCAAATAGCCCAAATTCTCTTGGGGCTTGGTACTGTGAAAAACTTCCTGGGTGATACCAAGATGTTGCAAAGGCCAAGTCATCACCAAAAAGGCCTGATAAAGAAGTTAACTTGTTCTGCAGCTATTCAGCATGTCTCAAATCTATTTCCTCTTATTCTGAGTCATAAATATACCATTATATGCCAAGCTTAAGCAATTTAGATTTGAAAATTATAATATCAGTCAAATCAGTCTAGTCAGCTCTCTCTTCCTCAGCTTCCACATCTGACAATATATCAGGACACTAGGAGAATGAGACTTGTATTTTGCAAAATATTTTAGCTCCTATGCTCCACGGAACAACCAAAATACAGAGAAATCTTTGAATTTAACTTCTTACACCAGATCTCCAAATGGCACAAAGTACTATTGGCCAATGGGTCTGTGAAGAGCAAGCGTGGTTATACCAGCCAGCCCACCATCCACAAGGCCCTTTGAGAAATTCTGGACTCTTCCAATACACACATCTCAACGTGCTCTGCAGCTTGCTTTTCTATTTTCACAGCTGGTCAAACAGTCACCAAATGGCTTAAATCTGTTGTCTAGGATAAAATGCTAAACAAGTGGCAGAGCTGGATGTGAAAGCCAAATCTCCTTTCTGCAAACCAGTGTGTTATGCTGTATTTAGGGACAGGCTTTTTATCAACACAGTACTTCAACATCCTGACCCATTCCTTGCTGATACAGACAAAGGAGAGACATCACAAGGAACAGAAAGTCCT